GATCTCCCCGAAGGAAAACGCTACCTCCCGCGGAGGGAACAGGTCCCAGATGAGAGCTTCTCCCAGATGGAGAGAGAATTTACTGCGGCACCTTATGGCTCCTTGGGGCAAAGCTAGTCTCTGCACAACGGCGTCCTGCCGTCGAGTCGTCACAAGAACACACGCCTCTGCCACGTGAAACCTGAGCAGCTCCAAAGCGAGAGGGGGGGATAACAGCCAGCGACAAGGAAATAAACGTGGTGATACGAGGGTGTTGCCACTAGCCAGTGCCATGGAACAACATTCTCATAACATCCATTTACAAACACTAATGTTGTCTTTTCAGGATCAAGGGGAGGCTAATTTAGATAAGTGCTTAATTTTATCACAAAAGTGAAATCCTTTAAATGAAATAAAATGTTATTTATGGTTGTATGTACTTGCTGCTGATGCCCTGAATAAACCACTGAAAGGATGGAGATGTGTCACCGAGCACATGGGACAGGAATTCATTGCACTCAAGCTGTTTTAGCACAGTGGTTTCGTAAGTGTGTGAAAAGAGATTATATTCTTCACTTCATTTTATTCAGTCAGATCAATTTTATGCCTAGTTCACCCAAAAAAAGCAACTGGAAGCTGAAGACAGAAGTCAACTATGTCCCTCCAAGCTATGGAAAAAAGTGAGGTATGAGAGATGGCTACAGTCTTAAAGGACACGAGGACCAGGAATGACCATACTGTCTTTGTTATATTATTGACTGCTGGAAATGTAAAGCATGTTTAGATAAATTATTTTCCATATGTATCCAGCACATTCATTTAACTGTTAAAAACACTTACACAAATTCTATTTTTGGGCCTTTTTAATTGGAATTCAGTTTCCATCCAAATGCAGCTTGACCCACCATGTGTTTAAAAATTACTCATATGGTAAATAGGAAAGCTGCCATTTACCTTCTACTAACATGAAAGTTTAAAAACTAAGGTTGAAGTGTATTGTGAAACAAAGTATTGCTTAAATAAAAATGATCTGATAGACAAACTTCATTGGTAAAATGAAAATACAGGATTTAGTGAGAAGGCTTATAACTGGTAAAGAAAATCATCAGATTTTGTTTCAAACTCAAATGAGAGTCAGTTTCAAAATCAAATGAGAATATCTACTGAGAAAAGGAAATGCAAACAACTATTAAATTTGATTATTTAAGTAAGTGTTTCTTGCTTATGTAGCTGGTGTTGCTTCACATCAATCCCCACTGCCACAGGGAAACTTAAAACTCACGAGCAACATGCAACAAAGATCCAGCCAGGGAAAGACTGTCTTAGTAACTCGCTTTCTGACTGATGAGCCAAATTCATTTAAAAACAACCCCTCTTCCTGCCTTTGGAAAAGGATCATTATTTCTTTACATTTTCTGCACTCTCACCTGAGATTCGCAGGTTGTCCAGGTCTCCGAGGGGACTCTGAGGCCTCTGGACATTTTTGGATGTCCACCTGTGCAGCATGGGCACGGCACTGAGATGCGGGAGGGCAGCAAGGGCCGGTGCGCAGTCTCACCGCCCTTTCTGGGTGTCCTGGTGCAGACAGGATGACCCCTGCTACCTGTCCCCAACAGCCCTGACCTCAGACTCAGATGCGTGAGCAGTACTGTAATGTGAGTACACACAGTGAAACCAGCCAGGATATCCCTGCTTATGCTGCACCTCCCTGAGGAGATTTGCTTTTGATTTACAAAGGGTTATCTCTCAGCCTCTGCCACTTTTACCATCTCAGTTTTGCTTCCCCTCCCCGCTCCCGGTATTTCAATTCACCTACCCCACGTATTTCCGGGAATGCTTTCTTGCTCTGATGGCTGACGGCGGCAATTGCTCGCACCAAGTGTGGCTCTCCGAGCAGCAGCTGGCAGGCAGCAAGTCTCCCAGCACAAGGCCTTCACCTGTTCACATGAAGCTCGGGGTTGCAGCAAACGCTATTTTTGGGCAGCTGCCAGGCTCATAACTAAAGAAAAGGATCCTAAACAAAACAGGGATATTTCTCCTCTCTTGCCCTGGCACGCAGCAGGAGGGGTGCATCACTGGGACCTCCTTCTCTGTGTGCCTTTCACTAGGGATTTTGTGGGTACTGCTGTTTTGGTAGCTGCGGCTTCATGCTGACGATGAAAAATGCACTTGGCAGAGTGCAACTTGAGGGAAAACCTTCAATTTGTACTGAAAGTATAGTTACAGAAACACACAGCCTGAATGCGAACCCGGAGACGTACCCGAACGCCCCCACCCACAGGTGGCATGTCAGTGGCCCTCACCCTGTGCCAGGGCCATCCCCAGCCCTGCCGCTCTGCCCAGGCTGCCAAGAGCCGCACCAGCCACGCGCGTGTGCCGCGGGACCCCTGGGCCCCCGCCCACAGCCACCAGGCAGATGGCAGCGCTTCCGCCGCTGTCAGCACGGGGCCAGGTTGGTGGCAGGAACTGCGGCATTAAAAGCTTTAGATCTTTGTGTCAGAGCCTGCAGTTTGTCAGGGTGACTTTGCCTTAAAAGCTAGGACGGCAGTAAAGATGAAAAATGGTTTTGCCATTTTCTCCCCAGCTGCCCTCAAACTGTTTAGACCCAGCAGGACGCAGAGCGCCTGCTCCCAGCACTCCCCTCCTGTCCCCAACCCTGTGTGCCCACCAGCCCGGTACCGGCCAAGGGATGCCCGGAGCGATGGTTTCCTATGGGATCAGGCAGCCGGAGGCTGGGGAAGAAACGTCCCTTGGGCACAGCGCAGAGGCAGCAGGGATTAAAGAAATCTCACAAAATCCCTGCCTGTAGCTCTGCCGGGGCAGGATCTTCCCCGTTTTAAGACAGCCAGAAAGTCTGGCAAACAGCACTAGACCTGAAACAGCCATAGGACACAGGTGACAAACACTGACCTGGGAGTGTCTGAGAAGCTGAAACCAGGAGGGATTTAAAAGAAATCAGTAGCTTTGCTGGGATTTGCAAATAAACAAAACCGAAGTAATCTAATTTTTCGGAAGCTCAAAGCTAGGTGATTTAAGTGTCATTTAAACAGGTTTTCTCAGGCTTCCTGACCAAAACACTCATCGCTGCTCTGTACAAAATTTCAACTCAGTTTTTAAAGACTATTGCTACCAGCTGACAGGAAAGTCAAATCCCAGTCTCTGACCTTAATAAAAGTCTTATATGCTTTCTCCTACTATTGTAAGTATACAGCAACATGAAAAATGACTAAAACCAAAGCACCAACTGTGGACAAGTTCAGTATTTCACATCCTTTTGGCACCTGTGTAAATCCATATCTGGTAAAAGAAAGGGGGTAAACCAGGCCTTTTACTTTCAGACACAGCAGAGGGCTACCAGGGCATCCATACAATGGATTTTCCATCTCAGCATTCTCACTCCCGCTTGCCTAAAGTACTAAACCCATTCCTGCCGACAGGAGAAACTGGCCAGTTTTGGCCTTCGTTACAAAATCAGTGCTCAGGGAGGCTTGGCTGAGGTTTCCCAACTCAGTTCAGGCATATTGTGTTACAACAGCAACATGCCAGGTTAACTGCAACCCCAGGGAGGGCCCTTGTGAGAGAGAGAGCAACAGCAACGGCTGGGACTCTCCTAGAAGATGCTCCATCCTGGAGGAATGGGTTGGGTGGAGGCAGAGGGAAGAGGAGGATGTGTGACCGGTCGTATACCTGTATCCCGTTGATAAGCAATGCCAAGAGAAGGAGGAGAATTCAGAAAGGAGGAACCGGAATCAAAACCCAATGGGTGAGAAGCCTACATGATGTGGGGGAAAAGTATGCCGCATGTCGGTATGTCAGGCTGTTCCCTTCTGCTGACACCATGACTGCAGTTGCCCTGCCAGCCTGCTTTACCCACCAAACTCGGCTACAGGCAGAATCACACACATCAAGCTGGAAATCTCTGCCATTCAGACGATTTATGGAAAATATTTTACTTTGGTCCCCCTGAAATTACATCATTTTCCTCTTTTATCTGTCTTAAGTGTCAGGAGAGTGTGATGTTAATGAGATTCACAAAGGCTTTTGGGTAGCTGAACAGTTTTACAGTCCCACATTGATAAATGAAAGCATTTGTCACTGTTACCACATTAATGTTTCTCCCTGAGATCAAAGTCTGGATTTGCTGCATCAAATAGTACCGTCCCCTGCTACGCATTACCACGCATTACCTTCCCAGGAAACTAATTGCGATTCCGAATTTTTACATTTACAGTTCAATCACACCCTGATTCTCATACCTGCCGACTGCCATCTCCATATGCAGTATGCAAGTTATTTTTTTTAGTATGGATCTTCTCCTTGCTACCTTTGTGAAAAGCCTGAATATCTTGTTTCAGGACAATCACCTTCTTCTGGCTCTAAAAGGCTTTTCTGCAGTAAAGAATATCAGACAACTTCCTTCCTCCTGAAACCCTGGATTCAGTCATGTTAATTTACATTTATATAGCATCTTTCATCCCTAAAGATCCTGATGCACTTTACCAACTCACCCTCTCTATACACAAGCTGTACAAATATACAGGGCTACATAAACAGACACAGCAACCCCATCACTGACCGCTGAGATTCATCTCTGCGTGTATTCCCAGCGCACTCCTGGCCAGCCCTGCACACCCTACATCGAATCACCATCAAGGAGGAAAACAAGGCAGCGTGATTTAGAGGTGTGGAGAAACACAAGGAATCTAGGCAAGCAACCGAACGGCTTTACAGCCTGGGTGACTGACATCGCCTTGGCATTCTGCTGCACAGGTTAAAATGAAGTAGAGAGTGATCTGCAGTGAGTTATGCCTCGCTTCTGCACTATCAGCGCCTGTAGAAGCCCAGACTTACTGCTCCCTTCCACTGATGGGTGACCCTCAAGCAGTTTATTTTATACAACTGAAAAATACCTGCTGACGTAATGAAAACATAAGGGGAAATAAACCCCCACTCCCCAACAGCAGCAGTTGACTGGCTCTTGCCAACCCGAGGGCAGAGGAGAAGGAAGAACCCCAGCATACCTGAGACACCTTTTTGACCACGTCGCTGCCCACGAGAAAGCCCTGCGCATAGGAGCGTGCCGCGATGAAGGCTCGGGTCGCCTTCACCTTCAGGTCCCGGGGAACTTCCCCGAAGGGTTTGTGCTGCTCCGCGTGCTTCACCATGCAGTCCAGGTACTCATCTGTGATATGGTACTGGGGATTCATCAGCTTGAAGAGCCGCTCCAGCAAGCGTGTCCAGAACTCATTGAGGGCCTCTTCCAAGTTGATGTTGGAGCCCCGGTAATAGCGGCGTAGCTCGCTGTACAAGTCCTTGAAGACCTTCATGTTTTGAGTGTACAGTTCTCCATACATGCTTGGAAAAGCATCATAAAGGGCCTTTTCCGACTTGTTCAACAAATCCTGGAAATAACCTGGAGAGAGAAGAGAACGGGGATGGTGATGCGTCAGTCGAACAAGCAGGAATCCAACGGGCTGTGCTGTTTGGCAGCAATACTGAGTGCCCTGAGAACAGAGAAGGGCACTAAGAACTTTTCCTCCAACCAACCTTACCCACACTCTCAGTCTTGAGCCTTAGCTGGGAAGACTGAAGGGGGAACCCCTCAGTGCCAGAGATCCATGGTTTGGGCCTTTCTGCCTCTTGGCAGCCTCACCTAGAACCAAAACTGAGGCTCTTCTCTGATGCTATAGTGTTACCAATAGGTTTTCTCTACTGAACGCACCAACCAGCATTGCTTACATACACCAGAACCCACCCCAAGCGCTGCGACAGGATCAGGCATGACTTATTATGTATGCAAAGACAGGGCTGTACTCAGGTGTTTCTGAACAGAGGCCAACATTATCATGCTGGAGGTTCTCATTTGCTCATCTGAATTTGCACCCTTGCGTTTGTTTAGGAATAAACAACTAATGGTTTTACACCCTACGTTCAGGGGTTGTAGAAGCGAGGAAGAGTCCCATAGGAATGCTCCTGCTACATGCAGCAGGGTAAAGATGGCAGATTCGACTCCCCCCATACCAACACCTTTAGGTATTTCCATCCTCTCGACCGCCAGCTACCTTCTGACTCTCTGAGACTGCACAGTGGGGAACTCATAGCAGGACTGGCCTGATTCAATTTACTGATTTACATAAGCAACTTTAATCATTATTTAAGTCAGTGAGAGGAGAAATTATTTAAATAAAAATTTTCATTTCAATTACATTTGTACTTTTAGGGCCTTGTTGAAGAAAACCTGATTATACTATTCTTTAAATCTAAATTACTATTATTTTTTTTTGGTGATGATAAGCTCTAGTTGGAGAGAAACTGTTATTCAATTAAAATCAACAGCATGCATTTAGGTATATAAATTAACTTCACTGTGCTAGTCATATAAGAAAAGAAAGAAAAGCTTCTGAAAAATGCATACTGCATGTACGAAGCTTTATTAAATGAAGTATTTTTGAGGGAATGGCACTGACTACAATTAAAGACCTCTAACATTTTAGAACTAGTAAAGCTCATTTCCATGGGTCTATGGAAGGGCCATACAAGCTTTCCTACATTAATAATCTGCCATTGGCTTCTCAGAGTTGAATGAAGCTAAAACTCAGTAAGTGCATCGAGCAAGTGAAAACATCCTTTGCATCTGCACTACAGGCTGCCAAAATGGAAACTTCTTGTAGTATTTTAAGAAACTGATACCGAGCATTAATGGCTTGGCTTCCTCCAGCCACAGTCATGTACTGCTTAAGAGTTTAAAATTTAAGTGCTTGTAAAAGATTGTGAGCAAACTAGGTCTTAGTAGAAGTTTGGTTTAATCACTTATGCAGAGAATAAAAATATGTTATCTAAAATGGTGAATAAAACCTATGGTCTTCAAGTATACTTTTGGAAGAAATTTATTCTTATTCAACTTGATGTGGTTGGCAGTTTGGATCTCCAAACATTTCTTCTGCGATCCTGTCGTCTGTCAAATGACTGATCTGCATGAATTTCTCCAGATTCCCTATGAAAACTGGACTTCCTCCTACAGACACCAGTGCCAGTGCACTGTCAGCGCACCTAAGCCACCTATAAAATTACCTTAATGGGGGTAATTACCTGTAATGGGGGGGTCCTAATATGAAAAAAGTCAAAAGGTGATCCCATCAACAAGTGCTTTGCTAAAGGACTTTCAGTCAATAAGCAGAGACATCTGCAGCACGTGCTGTCCTACCAAAGTTTATTAAAGCCTCTCCTGCGGCATCTCAAGACAAGGGGCTCTTCGACTCCTGCCCTCTCCTCGGGTCCCTGTTCCTACTCCCTTGCCCAGCTGCCAGAGAGGAGCTCCCTCCCAAGGTAGGACAACCTTTCAGCAAAGCCTGGGGCCTCACATCCCAGCCCAAGGGACTCCGTTGGGTCTGTATTTCCCCCACTCGAACAGTTCAGCCATCGCTAGTCCCAAAGACAGCAGCACACAGCAATTGCTCACACAGGTGAGAGCTTTCCTGTTACCAAAAGCCTCACCTACACCGATAATTGTAGAGTATGCAATTAAAACTTGGCACGTACAGAGCACCCCTCCTGGTAACCCTGATCCATCGTCCTCTGCACAGACTGCTCTGCTTCTGCAAAGCACTTGAGTATCCCCTCTTACAGCCACGGCTCTGACCCAGAATAGAAGTTGTGTGCACCCACTTCTAGGAAATTTTGGCTACTCCACAGGTGAGAGGCTGCAAGAGGATGATTCACTATTTGGGACCTTCTCACCTGGCACTTCTCTGCTGCCTTAGGGTCACACGTGAGCCTGGGCTAAGGCTACCACAGCAGGACAAGCCCATGTTAGGGTTGCCACAGCCCCGTGCTCCCGCTCTGGCACTGCTGTGAGCTGACTCGGGGCTGGTCCTTCTGCAGCATCACCATTTCTTCTGGCAGTCACCTTCCCCTCCAGCATCTCCTGAAGGGACTCACAAGCCAAGCAGGGAACTGCCAAGCAGACGATCTGTCATGGCAGGACACTTTCTTGGGTCTGACTAATGTGAGTTGGCTTCATTTTTCTGTTGTCGCAGCCTCCCTACCTGTACAATGAACAGGAACGGCGCTCACCTACAACCGACACAAAATACAAAGTTTCTCTGGTGCTGATGAAATATCTAAAGGCTGCTCTGTATCTTAATGTATCACTCCAAGTGCTGCTGGTTACCCATTCACAATTTAATTAAACTCAGCTCAAACTCTCTTTCTTGTATAATCAGTGTTCTTTTCTCTGTGACAAGCAACACAAACAGAATAAATTGCTCAGCAATCCAGGTACAACACGCAGCTTGGCACTCACCATCAGGAGCAAGAAAACACCAACAAATGCAGCCCGATTTGTCAATTCAAGGTAAAATGACTTTCTTTGTATTGCTACAGGAGAAACAAGATGTCTATCTTCCCGTCAAAAAATTGGAAACTGCTCTCGAAAAAGTCCAAGCTAATTAAGAGTTGATGAACTGTTACTTCTCACCTAAGTGCAAGAATACCAATTACAGTCAACTTGTTTGTGGCTGGTTCTCAGAAAGTTCTTCTAGATTTCACACACTGAGAAAAAAAAAAAATCCACATTATCTAGGGAAAATTAATTAGCAATTAAGTCTAAATGTGTTTGTGATGAATGGCTGACCTGGCAGGGAATGTAAATGCCCATTTTGCAGCATTAGAAGGCACTAAGAAGTGGGGTTTGTCAAGAGGGATGCACAGACGCTTGTGCTAACCGCCCGGGTCTTTGGCATGATCTCAGCCTGCGCCGCTTGTACACTTAGCACGGGCATCTCCAATTAACACTGCATCTTCTCCTTAACACTCCCTGCCTGCTAATATCCAACCTTTTAACCCATTTAAACGTGCCATAGATTAAGGATATGCCAGGCCTTGAGATAAAACAACTTGCTGAAGCCTCAGGAATGGCAGGGATGGAGGGTCGGGGCTTGTGAGGAGCTATAAAGCCTTTCCAGCTCCAGGAGTCACGGCTGCACTCCCATCCCGGCAGCGGGTACACAAAAAGCTGAGGGGGGTCTGCAGAGCACCAGTTTTCCTCTGAAACGATGCACTTGTTTCCTCTCCCAGTCACAAGAAAGCAGTTATGTATCTTCCGCACTCATACCGAAAAACCCACGGATGTGCTCAGCTTCTGGCAGCCTCAGAAATTTCAGTGGAGGCACACTAGGCAGAGACACCTTCCAGCGAGTCACCTGCTACATCCATGCCTGGGCTCCCCCCTCTTTCAACAAGTTTTCTCCAAGAGCCATTGAGCAGGCGAGTCTTTCCTCACCGCTGATGGCTAAGGACTTTGCCGTGCTAGCGATTTTCTAATGCCAGTAATTCAGGGAAACTAAACTCGGTGTTCCCTGGGCCAATGGAAGGCAAGGCTGTTCCTACACGAAACTTCACCTTTTCCACTCTTGCTGCAAAAGTATTCAAAAGGAAAGAAATTAAGTGGGAGCCTGATACATTCTTATTCTTATTCTTACTCTTATTCTTACTCTTTCTTATTCTTACTCTTATTCTTGCCTCTTGTTTCCAGGCTCAGAAACAAGACAACCAGCTTTGCTCAAATGAAATTTGCCTTTTGGCAGAGGCCAGGTCTGAAAAACTTCTGCCTCAAATACAAAAATGCCAGAAAGTTATGAGCAAAGAAATGGAAGTTTTTTACAAGTGAGACAACCCTGGCTGCTGTTTATTTTGCTGTCATAGAGACAAAAACTTACTTCTCAGAAAATTAAGCTTTCAACCAGAATCCATAATCCTTGCATTCGAGAGATTGTAAATCCCCACCCATTCCCCTGCTTTGCAGCTTCCCAGTGTTCGCAGCTCATATTTTCACAGTTTCCACATTTTCACAACTCAATTCAAATTGGGAAGCTGTGAACAGCAAGGCAGGGACCGGCAGTTTGTCTCCAAAGATGGAAAGTTGAGAGTTCCCCCTTCCATACCCCCTCCAGCACCAAGTACTTTATCCAAGCTCTTTGACACCATTTGATCACTCAACATCTGGAAAACACTGGGCTTTCTTCAACTAATATAATAATGGAGTGGGAGTGGATGTAGGGAGGGATGAAGAGGACACTGAAGGAAGAACACCCAAATGCTCTTTGGGCATGCAGCAGATCTGAATTTCTTCAAAACCCATCAAATTTTAGAGGCATGCTAGAAAAAAAAAGAGAATTGGAGAAAGGTGACTGAATTGCTTTTGATCTGAGTATTATTACTGTATTATTAAAAAGGGAGGAAAACACATTGCTCAGATGATGCCATTAATTCTAAGATCAGATTTTAAAATGAAATCTGTTCCTAAAGGCAGGCTTAGCACTGGATGGTTGGATTTGGTGAAGACTCTGGGCAACTTCCCCTACCTACACCTGGAAGTCAGACATAAGAGGAGGGGAAAGGCAGCAAGGTGCAGGG